ATTCTCATATATTCTATTGTGATCTGTTTTTGTCTTCTCATATTTACATGTAGGCTACATGTATACAGTTTGGGATCGATAAAGTACTATCTGTCTATCTATCTATCTATCTATCTATCTATCTATCTGACTGTCTATCTATCTACTTGTAGTTGTGGGAAGTAGACATGTGATATGTTGCAATCATTTTCTGCCACAGTGGACACAAGAATGACGAAATAAGCAAGATTTAAATATTGTGCATTAAATATTTGCTTCACCAACTCTTTATTTTCTGAATTCACAGCACGGTGGGGAAACAAAAATACAGTTTATATTAGTGGAAGTTTGCTTTATAATGGTAGCTGCAGGGCATCTTTATCATCGCTGTATAATTGGTTACAATTACAGTAAACAGCCATTGCTTTTATGTGTGTGTGTGTGTGTGTGTGTGTGTTAGGACAGGAATGTGACTGCGGGGATGTGTGATGTTAGACTCAGGACAAGGCTGCAGAGTGGGTTTAGGCTGTGTGTGTGTGTGTGTGTGTGTGTGTGTGTGTGTGTGTGTGTGTGTGTGTGTATGTGTGTGTGCGTACTGTAGGTGGGGTGTTGAGGCAGTCACACACACACACACACACACACACACACACACACACACAGCCTGTAGAAGGGCCCCTAGCGCCAGACATTAGTACTGGCCTGGCTGATTACTCCTACTATCGGATCCACAGCTCGAACATCGCAGTGTTGTCGAGGCTCAAACACGATTACGCGTATGGACAGGCGCCCGTAGCTCCGCGGACCCGTCTCTATCTCTCCGTGCGCCACACGGACTAAACACCGACGAGTCATTATTTTTTGGGCACATATCTGGGCTGCTCTCCACGCTACGGTGTCTCACACTGCAGGGCCTCTTTCAGTTTACAGGAAAAAAGTGGGTGTTTGCTGCTCACTGGTGTTCCGGCAGCGGCGGCGGCAGCGGCGAGCGCAGCGAAGTGTCCTCGATGGCAGGCTGGAAGGACGGCTCGGTGCAGGAGAAGTATCGGCTGGTTGTGGTCGGAGGCGGCGGTGTCGGTAAATCAGCCTTGACTATCCAGTTTATTCAGGTCAGTAGCGTGCACCCTTTGCCTTCAATGCAGCCCGTTGCTTTGATTTGCTTATCCGAGAACACAGCGCAAGAAGCGGGGAGGCCAGACACTGGAACCCCGTCAGCGGATACCGGGGTCTGTTTGCTTCTACTTTACCGAGGCCTACAACTATTTACAGAGGTTAGGAGATGTTAGGGTGAGGTGGGGAGCGTTATTCAGTGAATTGAACAAGGAAGGACGGCTGTCACTTTAACACGACCATATCCGAGAGCTCCTACTTCCACTTTGCAGTTTATAGCCGCTAGTCAGAAGAGAAAGGAAAGTGGGTCTTTGGAGCTCCAGAGTTGTCCTATTTTATTAACTTGCTGCAAAGTAAAGTAGAGGATTTACAACCCAGGCTAAGAGTTACACCTGTAAAGGCCTACCAAGCCAGAAACTTAAAGCAGAGGAGTGTTAAGGGTGCAGGAAAAGTTGAACAAAACTCACATTAGTCCCTGTAAGAACATACTTGGAGAGGAAACAGAAAAGTACTTTTAAATCCATATTTGAATGCTACTACAGAGAAAATCAGTCAGGGTTGAATGTGCACTATAAGCAGCACAAAATGCTCATTTAAGATGATTAACGTCTGTGTTCACATTTAGCCTCACCAAACTGAGCAGCTGGTTAACCTCATTCAAGCACTTCCAGTAACCAAACACCTACGGAAATGTAAATATTCTTAGAAATCAAAACTGCACTTCCACCCCCCTTGAGAGACAATGCCTCCATCACTTTTACAGCAACCTACTTGCAAACTCAACTATAAAAGGCATGTAAACAGTTTACCCCCATCTATCCCCCTGGTTGCATTCCAGCACACTGCAGACTTAACCTGCCTCGCTTTGACCTTCCCAAGGCTTGTAGTCATTTTGTTAAGGACTCCCCTTTTCCAGAAAAGCCCACACACACTCGCACACACTGCATGAGAGAGATGACAAACTTTGCCCTTTGCCTTGTGTGTTTCCCCTCTGGTGTCAGTGTGTTACTGACCAGACTGCAGGCAGCTGCATGTCTCCACACTGTCAGACAATAGTGGGCTGGCACACGTTATAGAGTGGGGGTGAAAAGCTTGTGAGTGTGTGTTGGTGTGTGTGTGTTCAGAGGGGGAGTTGTGTCTAATGAGGGTTCAAAAAGCTCATTAACTGCATACCAAGTAAGAAAAAGGAATCAGATTGCTGTGGCACAGATTTCGGCCATAGCCTAGTGACCCGACTGACCTGAGGTAGGGGAGCATTTAAAGCTGAATGTGAAACACACATTAAAGACATTTTGCCTGATTCAATGAGCTGGTGGTATCAACACTTTGATAACACTCGTGAAGTTGTGACGCTGTTCATTTTGAGATAAAAATATGTCATAGTTTGTCGATGGAAGATCACATTTGATATCTGCTATGTAGACTTAGCAAAGACTGTTTTATCATTGCATTAAGTTGTATTTATACGCAGTGATTTAGTCTCTCTAGATAAATGGATAGCCACACCAATGATCAACTACCAACCTAAAGCATGTTGTGTCTGTTGGATGACTGAGTTCAACCCTACCCAGACGATATCCTTAAGGTGTCTGCTTCATGCTCTTGCAGTACATTACACCAGGGAAGTAAACAGCAAAGAGTATCGGTGTGGGGTTTTTGCTCGAACAACCGCTTTGTATGTATTTTGTACTCGGCGTGTAATTTCCCCTCATGCCTCTCTCGCTGCTGGCTGGCGTATCTGGTGCCACGAACGTCAGAGAGATTGAGATGTTGACAGCAGGAGGAGAACATACATCCTCTTCAGAAGTTTCTCGAAGTTGGTTGCCAAGGGAAAAGACCTAACAGCTGATTGTGAAGTCGAGGCTTTCCCCAGAACTATGTTGAGTGTGGAGGGGGTGGGGGGTCTGAGTCAGCCTGGGTGGGTTAATGGTCATGGACCATGTGGAATTTAGCCCTTCGGCAAAAGGAAGTCCCTCCACTGCTGCTCTTAGGACCTTCGAGTTTTTGTATGGAAAAACATGACCTGCTTCCTGAATCACTGGAGATACGTGTGTGTGTGTGTGCGTGTGTGTCAGTGGCAATCTTGACAGAGTATTAAATTTAACTTTGTGTTTTGCAAAAAACCTTCAGTACTTAAGGGAATTTCCACAAAGAATTATTTCAGTTTTACTTTTATTACGTGTTACATACAGTTTAACACATTATACACTTTAGACCAGGCTTCCTGTAAGAACTGTGAGTACTCATCCAAGTCAAACTCTGCCACCACAAGTGTCAAAAGTCTCTTCATAACCCAAAAACCTTACTTTGAAACTCTTGGTTGGTTTGCTGGTTTGCAACAGCTGCCGACAAACACTCTTGCACCACTTTTTCCACAAACAGTATTTGCCAGAGGTTGCACCAAGTCCTTGTTTAGCAAGCAAAAAGTCTTTGCAATCAAGTCCCAAGCCAAGTCCCTAGTCAAGACTGACAAGTCCCAAGTCAAAGTCCAAGTCCTAAATTTTGAGTTTCGATTCCTTGACAAGTCACAATGTGCTGTTCACCAAATGTAATGCCAATATTAATCTAATGTTAATCAAACATTAGCATCAAATTACTTTACTTTATGCAAATTCAAATGTCAAATGAAGTTGGAAGTTGTTGCTTCTTTGTTTGTATTGTTCAACCTGCACATTTTGCATGCTTTAGTTAGTTTTTTGTTAAGCAACGCATAGTTTTTGTATGTGTGCAAAATTATCTCCTGGCGCTCAGTAACGTCCTGTAGTTCTTCGTAGTTCTCTCCTGCAACAAAGCGAATCTTGGGACTTAATTGTTGACTTATTTGGGAATGAATAGCGTTAATGTTAACTGAGTCAGGACGTGAAAGGAAACTAATTGATTCATGGCACAATTTCTAAATAACTTACTTTTTGATCTTTGGGTTCAGGAGAAGTGGTCAGATATTTTAAGTCAAAAGTCTCGAGTCCAAATGCAGTCACGAGTCATTGGTTTTAAAGTTTAGTTGCAAGTCTTTTTGATTTTGTCAAGTCGAGTCTAAAGTTATTAAACTTGTGATTCGAGTCCACACCTCTAATATTTGCTTCTATTTCTTGTGGATATGGTTTCCATTAACTTCACTGATAGAAAGATTATTTTATGTTGTGTACAAGGCCTCGTGGTACACTGTCATCAAGTAGGTAAGTAGTTACTGTTGTAAAAACAGGCTATTTGAGGAAGTTTTGCAAACTAAACTTCTACCGTCCAAGTACGATTTTATGAAGGAGAGGTGGCTACATGTATTATTATTAGTCAGTATGTAGAGGAATGTGTGTGTGTGTGTTTGGGTGTCTGTGGGTGACCATGACACATAAACCACTTTAACAACTTTAAAAAGCAAGTTTCAAATTTGTGTCATTTAAAAAATGAACACTGACGCCACTACAATACCTCAATTTTGGCACTGACATCAAAAACATTTTTTTAAAATGTTTGTCTTAACAAAATGCAGCCATACAAAAAACTGTGCCCACAAAAACAGTTATGATTTAGATCAGTAAATATGTGAACAAATAAGTAACAAGACTGTGAATCATTGATGCCAACTTCTGATGCTTAACAGTCACTACCAGATTCTCAGGGCACATTTCAGTCATTTGTCAAAAGTACTGAGCTTTGACACCAAGTGCTAATCACGAGGGTGCTGAGCGGAGTCTAAAACGAAGAAAAAAACGACCACTGTGCTGAAGCAGGGATTTCAGGGTGTCGGACGATAAAAGATGATGTCGCCAGCAGTAACGGAGTGGCAGGTCCCTGGGAGCTGCTGGCCGCCCAAATGCCGAGCAGTTGACTCAAGCCAAGATAGCATTGGGATGACATAACATTGAGTCACCTGACAAAAGTTGTGGAACACAGTGTGTTGTTTTAATGTGACGTCTGTGAGGGAGGAAGCATCCTAAGTAAGGGAAAACATGACTCACATTGGCCATGTGAAGACTGCATGTGGGGTGGTGTGTGTGTGTGTGTGTGTGTGTGTGTGTCAGTTTGTTTTTACCCCAGCAATAATGGTACATCAAAAACAGAGTAACCAAAGAAGCTACTGGAATGAAGCAGCTCCACAATGAAATGTTGTGTGATCTGATTCCTGGATGAAAAATCATGGCGTTTGCTGGGTCACATGCTTGCTAATATTAGTGCGGCGGTGGCCCTCGGCAGCGGAGACTCATGCACGAGAGCAAAACATCCTGACTGATCAAGTCCAGACAGATTAGTCGAGGATTTTTGTAGACCTCAGCTGGATTTACAGTCAGAGCGCATAACTGACCTCTCTCTTTCTCTCCTATACTCCCACTCCACATATCTCACATATTTTTGATATGAGGTCATTTAGGAGGATGTTGCTGTAAGTAGTAATTCAATAGAATAAACATGGATTATAGGGACAGCAGTTCTTGGGCATGTGGAGGCAAGGTGTGGTAATCATAGTCGTGTTGGAGTCGAATGTGGTGGGCGCAGCTTCATGCGCGTTTCTCAGAAACAGCCACAGGTGGTTAGACGAAGTGTTTGCAGCGACACTGTTGTGCATGTGTGTTTGTGATTTAGTTTAGAAGTTCACTTGTATGTAACACCGCGCACGGCATACTCTCAGCCCATTTTTGGATACAGGCAGGTTTGTAGCTTTCTGTCTAGCTCAGTGATATGTCACATGCCATACCGCTGAGTGCAAACAGTTCCATTTATATTCGCACCGGCATTTCTTCATGTCCTTTAAGGGAGTTAATATCTTTTCTTTGTAATGGTAGACTAAACCGTATGACCGTAAGCTCTTCTTTTTTTTTTTTTTTTTTTCAACTGTAGGGTTTGCAGCTGCGTGTGTGTGCCTGCTCAGGCAGGTTATGAGAGTGCATTGTTTGTTTAGCTCTGTAAGAGGGTCACCTGTTGATTTCTCACAGAGCAGAACCGCCGTGAGAGCAAATAAACCCTTCATTGGTTTTCACAACAGTAAAGTTCTAACCAGAAAATA